GTCTTTACAATCTTCTCGTCTGTCCTGCTATTAACTGAGGGGTGATCCTTCGTGGGAATAATGTCCAGCTGAGTCTCTTTGGTGGTTTATGCGCTTATTCACTGAGCACATGTAAAATAGAGTCATCTCTGAGCGCATGATCCCGTAGAAGAGATAAAACGGCCAATTAGAGGGGTGACAAGTGTCACAAAACGGATGCGCACGGAAGCCCCGGAAGCAGAGATGCCTTGTTTACTGAGAACCATCTGGGGTGGTTGTCCAGCAGAGATGGCCAGCGTTTGAATACACGTTCGGAAGACAGGTAGTGTCTGGACAATGTATGTTGGGCAATCAGTAGGTAGAGAATGTTTCAGGGGAAGGAACTAACACAAGCGAAGACATGAGGTCAGAAAAATGTCCAAGAGGTGGGGTATGCTCAGCAGGTAGAAGGTGACTGTGTCTGGGGAGAGTGCAGGGTGTTTTAACACAGGAGTGGAAGAGAAAGCCAGAAAGAAGGGGTTGGGGACAAAGTGTAAGGCCATAGAGGGCTCTGGCTGCAACAAAGGACCCTGGAAAGATGTGGGAAAAAACAAGAGCTAAATATAAAGAAACTTTTCACATTTCACTCTCTGTTTTTCCTTTTGTTGCTGTAACTTAGGCTTCCTGTGCTCACACTTAGTCGTGTCTGACTCTTTGTGACCCCACGGACCTTAACCCACCAGGCTCCTCCGTCCATGGGGTTTTCCAGGCAAGAGTACTGGAGTGGGGTGCCATTTCCTTCTCCAGGGGATCTTCCCCACCCAGGGATCGAACCCACGTCTCTTGTGCTTCTCCTGCATTGGCAGGCAGATTCTTTACCACTGTCCTTCCTGGGAAGCCTGTAACTTAGGCTACCTGGGTTCAAATTCTGTTTTCACCATTTACTAGCTGAGGGAACATGGGCAAATGATTAAACCTTGCTAAGTATCAGTTTCCAAACTTGTAGATGGGATAATGACTTATTTACAGGATTGTCATAGAAATTAAATGAAATAATAATTAAAAACAGAGTGACGAGTACAAAACCTGTACTCACTTTTACTGTTATTATTTTTAGGCCATTTATTAGTAGCTGTTTTCCAGCTGTCCAGCTAGGTTTCTTTTGAATAGGGCCTCCTTTGACCTTTCAGAATAAGGGCTGTCATTCCCATTTCAAACTCTTGGAATCAGTAACAATCTCTGGACCCCAGGGGTTTGGAAGCCCTTGGTTAATATGGAGTAATATGAGCGATCAAACCTAAACATTCACTTTGTATCTATGGAAACGTTCTCTTGAAAGTGAACTTCATTGATTTGCTAATTAAAATGGTTCAGACTTTTGCAGTGATATTTTATAATGAAAGCTCCAGTCGATGACTACTTTAGAGGTTTGTTTTGTTTACCTTCATTCTCATCCTGGTACCGGGCTTTAAAGCTGTGAATTTGGGTCACATAGGAACAGTCTGTCTTGTAAATGCTTAGGCGTGCCAACTACTTCCTAATAGTTGGTTAATATTCTGGGTCATGTTTTAATACTGTCAAAGTGAAAGAGTATGTTAGTAAAGGAGATTTATTGTTCATCCTGAGTGATGAGAAAAGGACCTCAGAGTGATGTCAGCTTGCACGTCTTTTGTACCCTTCCGAGAAGGGGAAATCATCACCCACTTGGCATGACTTTCTAGCTTAATTAAACAAAAGCATTTATGCTAAAAATGGGGATGGGGGGAAGGAAATTAAATAACTAAGATTCTGGATCTTCACTACTCATCATTATTTAGGGATTATTCATTTGGGAGAAAAGTCCAACTGCAAATAAAACACCAAAAATCTTTTTTTATCAAAAGTTTTAAGAAGATAATCTTTCTTATCATGAATAATTATTTTACTGCTAAATTGTATTGTTTACATACTCATTTTGTATATATGACTTGTAATATATTAAAAGTGAAAGTGAAAGTTGCTCAGTCATGTCCAACTCTTTGTGACCCCGTGGACTGTAGTCCATGGGATTCTCCAGGCCAGAATACTGGAGTGGGTAGCCTTTCCCCTCTCCACGGGATCTTCCCAACCAGGGATCGAACCCAGGTCTCTCGCATTTCAGGTGGATTCTTTAACAGCAGAGCCACAAAGGAAGCCCTGTATATTAAAATGTATATTAATATGTATATAATTTAATAAATAGGTATGATTTTATATAGAAAGAGCTTTTTGTACAGAGTACTTTATACACAGAGCGTAAGTAACTCCAATGGAATTACTTCATTTAATCTTCACGACATGTGCTGTGTACTGTGCTAAGTCGCTTCAGCCGTGTCCGACTCTGTGTGACCCCATGGGCTGAAGCCCGCCAGGCTCCTCCGTCCACGGGATTTTCCAGGCAAGAGTACTGGAGTAGGTTGCCATTTCCTTCTCCAGGGGATCTTCCTGACCCAGGGATTGAACTCGTCTCTTGAGTCTCATGCCTTGGCAGGTGGGTTCTTCACCTCTAGCGCCATCTGGGAAGCTCAGTCGTCACAACAATCCCATAAAATAGATTGCTGTTTCCATTTTATAAATGAGGAAACTAAGTTTTAGAAACTTGAGTAACCTGTTGAGGGAAAATTCACAATCAATGCTCTTTTCATTACTCACTTGTCCGAGATTAGGGATACTTTCAGAAAAGGGTAGAGTCACTACCCAAGAAAACTACTGGCATTGATTCTGAATGTCATCAAAAAATGAAGGGGCTTATTTCTCATTTTTCCAGGCAGTAAAAGCATGGGATTAGGGGCTCAGGGGGCTTCCCTGGTAGCTCAGCGGGTAAAGAATCCGCCTGCACTAAGGGAGACCCTGGTTCGACTCCTGCGTCGGGAAGATCCCTGGAGACGGGGTAGGCTACTCACTCCAGTATTCTTGGGATTCCCTGGTAGCTCAGCTGGTGAAGAATCCGCCTGCACTGCAGGAGACCCTGGTTCGACTCCTGGGTAGGGAAGATCCCTGGAGAAGGGGTAGGCTGCCCACTCCAGTATTCTTGGGCTTCCCTGGTAGCTCAGCTGGTAAAGAATCCGTCTGCACTGCAGGAGACCCTGGTTTGATTCGTGGGTCGGGATGATCCCTGGAGAAGGGGTAGGCTGCCCACTCCAGTATTCTTGGGCTTCCCTGGTAGCTCAGCTGGTAAAGAATCCGCCTGCAATGCAGGAGACCCTGATTTGATTCCTGGGTCGGGAAGATCCCTGGAGAAGGGGTAGGCTAGTGACCCCAGTATTCTCGGGCTTCCCTGGTAGCTCAGCTGGTAAAGAATCCGCCTGCAATGCAGGAGACCCTGGTTGGACTCCTGGGTCGGGAAGATCCCTGCAGAGGGGGTAGGGTACTCACTCCAGTATTCTTGGGCTTCCCTGGTATCTCAGCTGCTAAAGAATACGCCTGCAATGCAGGAGACCCTGGTTTCACTCCTGGGTCGGGCAGATCCCTGGAGAGGGGGTAGGCTGCTCACTCCAGTATTCTCGGGCTTCCCTGGTAGCTCAGCTGGTAAAGAATCCGCCTGCAATGCAAGAGACCCTGGTTCGACTCCTGGGTTGGGAAGATCCCTGCAGAGGGGGTAGGGTACTCACTCTAGTATTCTTGGGCTTCCCTGGTATCTCAGCGGGTAAAGAATACACCTGCAATGCAGGAGACCCTGGTTCGCCTCCTGGGTCAGGAAAATCCCTGGAGAGGGGGAAGGCTACTCACTCCAGTATTCTTGGGATTCCCTGGTAGCTCGGCTGGTAAAGAAGCCGCCTGCAATGCAGGAGACCCAGGTTCGACTCCTGGCTCGGGAAGATCCCTGGAGAAGTGGTAGGCTACTCACTCCAGTATTCTTGGGCTTCCCTGTTATCTCAGCTGGTAAAGAATCCGCCTGCAATGCAGGAGACCCTGGTTCGACTCCAGGTTCAGGAAGATCCCTGGAGAAGGGGTAGCCTACTCACTCCAGTATTCTTGGGCTTCCCTGGTATCTCAGCTGGTAAAGAATCCGCCTGCAATGCAGGAGACCCTGGTTCGACTCCTGGGTCGGGAAGATCCCTGGAGAAGGAGTAGGCTACTCACTCTAGTATTCTTGGGCTTCCCTGGTAGTTCAGCTGGTAAAGAATCTGCTTCCAATGCAGGAGACCCTGGTTTGATTCCTGGGTCGGGAAGACCCCTGGAGAAGGGGTAGGCTGCCAACTCCAGTATTCTTGGGCTTCCCTGGTATCTCAGCTGGTAAAGAATGCACCAGCAATGCAGGAGACCCTGGTTCGACTCCTGGGTCGGGAAGATCCCTGTAGAACTGGTAGGATACTCACTCCAGTATTCTTGGGATTCCCTGGTAGCTCAGCTGGTAAAGAACATGCCTGTAATGCAGGAGACCCTGGTTCGACTCCTGTGTTGGGAAGATCCCTGGAGCGGAGGTAGACTGCCCACTCCAGTATTCTTTGGCTTCCCTGGTAGCTCAGCTGATAAAGAAGCCGCCTGCAATGCAGGAGACCCTGGTTCGACTCCTGGGTCGGGAAGATCCCTGGAGGGGGTGTAGGCTGCCCACTCCATTGTTCCTGGGCTTCCCGGTTGGCTCAGCTGGTAAAGAATCTTCCTGTAATGTGTGAGACCTGGGTTTAATCCTTCGTTGGGAAAATGCCCTGGAGGAGGGCATGGCAACCCACTCCAGTATTCTTGCCCGGAGAATCTCCGTGGATATAGGAGCCTGGCGGGCTACAGTCCGTGGGGCCACAAAGAGTCAGACACGACTGAGTGACTCAGCCCAGCACAGTACAAAGGTTCCGGCTCTGGAGTTACAGTGCCTGTGTGCAGAGCTCAGCTTTCTTGCTTACTACATGTGATCTTGTCGAATTATGGAGACTTTCCAGCCAGTTTTTCTATCTGTAAAATGAGAATAATAATAGAACCCCTTCTCCAGAAGAGAAATGTGAACTAATGTACACAGCATAAAGTTTGGTAAAAGCTCTGTAAAGCTAAGGAGGCTTTACTGTTTGACTGGAAAGCTGACTCCATACCTGAGGCCTGGGTTGAGCGAATGCTGGCATAGAAGTACAAGCAGCCATCCTTCAGGATGCAGTAGTGCTGGGTCCACACGTCCGTGCTTCCGTCCAGCTGGTGCAGAAGGCCCAGGCACTCCGGCTTCTTGATAGCCAGGGGCGGGAGGCTGCTGTTGTGCAGGGTAACATCTTCCCAGACATGGTTCTGCAGGGTTGGCACCGAAGAATCACCTGAGAGGCCATCCTGCACCAGCAATCACTGCCCCCCGGAGCCAGTGACATCAGCACTAGGACTGGCTTCAGAGAATCCCCTGTCCTGAGTGATCCGATTGCTAAGGCAATCTGCACACTTGAGAAATAAGCCAGACAATCTGAACCTATCCAGTGGCCACAGAGAACTTTCCCTTCTCATGTCCGCAGGTATCCCTTCTCTTTGGCTTCTATTCTATTGTGAGGAGATCAAAAGAATATCAGTGAGGTATGGAAAGAAAAATGGGAATCTCTGCAAAGACTATTGTTTGAAGGTCTAAGTGCTGGCCCCAACGAGCTATTTTACTTACCATTGGGATTGTCCTAGCCGTGTTCCTGGTATGTCCACCGTGACTAATTCCAGGCCCTGGTTCATGATTTACTTTACCTGGCACTCCTATTTGTGCCAAGAAACAAGGGAAATGCCCCAGGCCAGATCAGACCTGAGGCTCACATGGTCAATGGTGTGGAAAGCCCATGATAAATCAAGATCCTCTACCTTGGAGAGGCAGAGGTCCACAGTCCTCGGTCCACAGTCCTGACCGAGTGGCAGGCTCTTCCTGGGAACTTGACCTGAGGCAAGGGATGTGATGCTTCATCCCTTTATCAGAACACCTTGCTGGGTGCTAGCCGGTTTCTTTCATTTGGTTTCATTTTTTTGTTCTTTAGTTTTAACCAGGCAGTGCAAAAGATTTCAGAATGCAGAGCTGGCAGAATTGTTTGCTGTGAATTGGGAGCCTGCTGGGAGTTTGGGTGTTTCTTTTTCACTCTGCTGCAGACACTCTGAGTGCATTAGCAGAATAGATCCCTCTTAAAAGTGTCGAGACTCATTACAGTGATGCATTGGAGAGATGGGTGAGTGTATTGAGTGTTGTGTTTCAGGTAAAATGAAACACAAGCCCTGCTGTTTGTCATATGATGATAATGCTGGTAATTATTTTGAAAGGACAGATACAGGGCACAGGGTAGTACATTTAAGCTCAAACAACCCAAATTTTCTGGAATGTAAAAAAGCCAAAATATGTAGAGAAGATAATTGATAGTAAATACCTTTTTCTTATGTTTTCTTTTGTGAGGAAATGAGCATATTTAAATGAAATGTGTGACCTTATTAGAAATTGTATCTACAGCATTAAAATGAAACAATTGAATATTGAAGCAATTTCTCTGCTCTTGAGGAGGTCTTAGCTCAGAAAGAAGAGTATCAAATGCCTCAGGGGCTGCAGTGATGACTCATGTTGGTGTTACCAAGTTATCTATCAGTTTGTGTGTCAAGCCCAAATTTAAAATTCTATTACTTCAAGGCTAGGAATCATGAATAGGCAGGAACAGTGAAAGCTGACCTAATACATCTTCAGAACAAGGATATGGACATAAAGCACTACATTTCTGAACGTACGACCATTTCCCAGTAAGCGGCTTGGCCACGAGCACCGTGCCAAGTTATGCCTGAGCCCTTGTGCTCAGGGACTGAGAAGGAAACAGTTCGAGCGGTTCAGCCTCACGGGAATCCATGCAACTAACTGATTGGTGTCCAGCAGAAATTCTACCCTGGCTGGGTCTACCCACCGAGCTCACCGAGAGGAATCGCATCCAAACCCCCGAGGACGCGAGGAACAAGCACCTCCACAAAGTCTGAGCGGGAAATCCTATTGACTGGACATCCCCTTTCCCAGCGTGCAGGGTGGACTGCGTGATGTCCAGCTGGATCCTCTCCCCCTCAGAGAAGAGGGGCGTGAAGGCACAGATGAATAGCAAGGACGCCTTACCTGGTGGGCAGGGTGGGCTGCTCTGTCCATTGCTTCCAGCCACCTGAAAGAGAGGTGAGAGCTGCTGTTCTCGGGGAATGCGCCAAGTGTCCTCCAGAGGGCCTCGTTTTTCTCCCTGGCCTCCGTCATTCACACAGAAGAGTCCCGAGATTCGGATATGTTTCGTGGCTCAAAATTAATGGTTGAAGAGCAGCATATTCTTACAAAACTGGTGTTACTAGGTGCCAAAATCCCACACCTACCGGGCGTATTTAAGATAAATTATTCTCATCCTTCTCCTTTACTATAATTAGTGCTTAAGGGAAAATGTATTCACTATTTTACTACGGTACCTGAATTTCACACCAGCAGGCCTGATAACTGTAAAGCCCTGACTATTAGTCAATGGTAAGACTGGTAAATAGCCACTGCCTCACCCACCTGCCAAGTGATCTGTAGACCGAGTGACCACTTTTAGTGCACTGTGTCTCTACTTGAGGACTGAACTTTCTTCATCTTGTCTCCTAGGCTGCCAGGTATCAGCCTATCTATCCCACCCTATCTTGCCAATCTTCTTCAAGCTTCTTTTAAACCCTGTAACTTCCAGTCACACCGTACTGCAAGCTTGATATAACCCCTCTGCCCGTCTCTGTTCCATTTCCTCTTGTGTGTATCTGATGCTGTACCATACCATGCATAAACTCCTTGCTCATCCCCACGTCCAGAGATTTCTTTTCCCATCCTATATTCCTGTGCCACTTTGTCTTCCCCCATCTCACTACTCAAGTTCTATTTTGCATTAAAAATACTAGAATAAATGTCTTCTCTTCTTGGTTCAGAGCTTTTTTGAAGTCAAAAATTGATGCTTCATCATACTAACAGTTCTTAGAGATTTTAAAACAGTATCTTGGACATATTTGCTATCCAATAAATATTTTCCCCATGAATTGAAATACAATTACGTTGCTGTCATCATGTTTCCCTGTTTGTCCTTTAAAGAACATCATGCATTTCAGCACACAGTGTTCCACAAACAGAGACAGTATCTTCTTTGCCTAAAAGGTTTCAGACCTAAGGCTGTCTTTACACATGGCATTTAAATTCTCTTAAAGAGATATGACATCCTTCTAAACACTACTGACCCATTTTGGGGCCACTGTCTCCCTCACTGCATTCCATCCCACCCCTCACCATAAAGCAGCAGGGCGTACACAGCAGTTCTGAGCTGACTCGCTGGATTGGCCCATGATCTCCACTTCCATAGGAACACACTGAATAATGATCGTAAGTTGTTAAATGCTTAGAGTTCGTGGGCCACCCTCGTAGAAGGCCTTCACGCTTCGACCCTCAGCCTGGGTGATATGCTTACAAATCGTCAACTGTGTTAATTCCCCCAGGAACCTATATCATGATGACGATGATAATGAATTTTGCTCATTTCACTGTTAAATTGTAACCCTACTTTTAATACATTATTTTTATTCCTCCTACTATCCATCCAAATAGCTTAAATATATGAATCTTGCAACTTCTGGGGAAGCCGGAAGTGACCTGTGGCAGTAGTGAGCTCTTTTAGAAAACTTAGAGAACTAAAGTAATTAAGTTAGATGATATATCTATATTTTTGGAGATTCTGTTAGGAAAAAAACTGGCAGAAATATGAAAAACTCAACTTGTCATACATAAGAAAAAGATAGTTTATTGACTTGTGCTGTGAGTTTGCTGTCCCCTTTCCTATTTCCAACCCCAAAACTCTGTTAGATTGTTGTTGAAGATGCATTCCCCCACTCCGAGTGAAACTAGTAAGATAAAAGAATAATCAATTACCTTTTGAATTCTTGGTTTGAAGTTGCGCAGAGGCAAAAAGTTCTATTTCCAGACTGAGGCACACAGTTAAACACAAATGGTTTCCCCAAGCTGCTATCAATGCCAACTTCTGCACCTTCTAATTTTATTACCTCTAGAGGCGAACAGTTTCCTTCATCCTGTAATTGATAAGGAAGAGGTTCAGCATGGGCACTGCAGCTAAGCAGATAAGGGAGAAATGAGAGAGGAAAGGAGGACTAAAGTTATTTTTCTGAATTGATTGTTCGGAAATGAAAATAAAACCAAAATGAGCTTTTGTAGATTATGCTGTAGGTGATATACTCCATCAAACTCCAAATTTCCCACATCCCTTTTGAATCGCCTCTATTAATATGCATTTTATTTATGCCAGCTTGGGAGAGTATCATTAATCATTCATATCTATTTTTTTCCCATCAGAAAAAAGAATATCAAAAGAAATTGATATTATAAAATATATGTGTTTGGTAGTATCTAGCTAGTGTCTATACTTAACCTATATTCCATGCTTATTTTGTTTTATGCCCTCTTCTAATTTATTTATGTTTATTAATTGATTTATTGTCACAAATGCTCATCAGGTAGTTACTTTTATTATCTTTTTTTAGCAAGTCAGGAAACTTGCAAAGTTTAGAGAGAACTTGCAGCACAGAGTAAATAAAGAATACTTTTCTTAAAATGACAGTAGTTTGAAACTTGTATGCAAAACTAAAATCAGTTTATAGGTAAATATTTTGCTATTTGTATTTATTTTACATTATATGTCAAATTATTGTCTGTGTCAAATTTCCTTTGAGTCTGTTTGCAATCGTCACCCTTACCCCTCCAATTATAGGCATTCACAGATCTGTTTTCTGTCTGTCCAAACTTGCCATTTCTAGACATTTTATACAAGTAGAATTATATCCTATATGGTTTTCTTTCTCTTAGTGTGATGTCCTCAAGTTTCATCCAGGTTGTAGTTCTCATTAGTATGTCATTCCTTTTTATTGATGAGCTATATTCTACTTTATGGATATGCCTCATTTAGTTTACCCATTCACGAGGTGATGGGGAGTTTTCTTTCCAGTTTTGGGCTAATTCAAATAATGCTGCTATGAACATTTGTGTACAGGTCTTTGTGTGGGCATATGTTTTCACTCTTTTTGGTAGATTACTAAGAGTGACATTGCTGAGCCATATGGTAATTTTATCTTTAACTTTGTAAAAAACTGCCAAAGAGTTTCCCAAAGTGGCTGTACCATTTTATACTCCTACCAGCAGTGTATGAATGTTCCAGATTTTCCATACCCTCACCAATACTCTGCATTGCTTGTCTTTTTGATAACAGCCATCCTACTGAGTGTATAGTGGTATGTCCTAGTGGTTTTAAATCGCATATTACTAATGACTGTTGATGCAGAACACCGACTAACCCAAAGGTTCTTAACCAATTTTAGGTGACGACTTCCTTTTGAGATGCTGATGAAAACTCACCACCTCCCCACACACCAAAATACATAAATGTGTAGATGTGAATTTATACACACATGCAAAAAATTTCTTGTGACTCACAGCGGGGTAGATGGAAAGATATTCTTCAACTAAAAGTAGTATCTCTTATTTGTATGGCACTTTAGTTTATAAAACATTTTCATTTAGCCTGTCTTTTTTACTCTTCACAACTACTCTGTAAAGCAGGGAGCTAATGTTATCCCCATTTTCTAGAAGAAGAAATGGAGTTTCAATGAGACATCCCAAGGTTATATAGAAACAGAATTTAAGCACTGGTTTTCTGGCTATGTCTTCCACACTGTATCTCTCACACATTTGGCTTCTTGGGCCATGGCTCTTAGAGTCAGCAGTTGAAAGCGGCAATATTTATGTTTTAGGAGACAGAATATTTCCTGAAGCCATGAGCTTTCCTGGAATATACACAGGGCTCTAAAATTTTGCTCTGTTTTAGTAAACAGAAAGAAAGTAACACCTCTTATAACAATGGTATATGGCCAATAATATGACATCAGAAACCAGGAGAATATATTTTCATTTGCTTTAATCAGGGTAAAGAATTTGCATGCCTATAAAGAGCAGCCAATTATTTATATTATTTTCCCAGGAGCATCTTAAACTACAAAAAGAAATGGGGAAACATAAATAAAGCCTGGAGATTTTATTCTGTTAGTAAGTGACAGATGTGCTTGTTTGCTAAGAGCAAACACTCAGTGGGGCTGCTTCCCTTTGGACCCATTAGGCAGATAAGGTGATATAACATGTTTGGCTCTTGGTCTCAGCACTCTTGGTTAACTCTGCAACTACCAGCGTTCTCCTCCATGCTGTGCTGTGGGACAAGGCGAAGGAATACACCCCTGGGGCATATGACACGCAACCAAGAATAGACCTGAAGTCACTTTGCCTCTGCTCAGGTCGCATCTGTGTCAGGAGAATGAAGTAGAGTAGATAGATAGTAAGAGATAGCAGCCCTCATTTAAAACGATTTTTAAAAAAAATTTTTAACTGGAGGATAATTGCGGTACAATGTTGTGTTGCTTTCTGCCGTACAACAACGCAAATCAGCCACAACCATACATATATCCACAACCATACATATACATGAATGGAGTAGATTCAAAATAAGGGCTAGTCTCTTGCACTGATGGTGGGAACATAAATTGACACAGCCACTATGGAGAACAATGTGAAAATTCCTTTAAAAAACTAGGAGTAAAACTACCATATGACCCAGCAATTCCACTACTGGGGATATATATACCCTGAGAAAACCACAACTGAAAAAGGCACATGTACCGCAATGTTAGTTTCAGAACTATTTATGATAGCAAGGACATGGAAGCAACCTAGATGTCCATCGACAGATGAATGGATAAAGAAATTGTGGTACATATACACAATGGAGTATTACTCAGCCATAAAAAGGAATGCCTTCGAGTCAATGCTAATGAGGTAGATGAACCTACAGCCTGTATACAGAGTGAAGTAATTCAGAAAAACAAATATTGCCCATTAGCACGTATATATGGAATCTAGAAAAAATGGCACTGCTCCATGCGCAGGGCAGGAATAGAGACACAGACGTGGCGAATGGACGGGGATACAGCTGGGGAGGGAGAAGGTGGGGGGAGCTGACAGAGTAGCATTTAGACGTTTGCGTTGCCACACGTGGGGTTTGCTGGAGGCACACTCACAGCTGAGCAAGTGAGTGCACACACACGGGGGTGGGGGGGACGCTCAAAGGGGAGGGGATGTATGCATGCTTGTGGGCGATTTGTGTTCTTGTACAGCAGAAAGCAACACAACATTGTATAGCAATTATCCTCCAATTAGAAATTTTTTTTTTTAAATGAGGGCTACTGTCTGTTACTACCCATCACGGCCCAGATCCCATTTTCACTAATCAAAGCTGCCCCCTCATTGCCCATGAGTGTGAGCCTGCTGTTGCCCCGGGAGCAGCTGCAGGGGAGCCGTGGGCATGGAGCCGGGAGAGCAGGCGTGGGCGCCCTTGCAGCTGTGCATATGCATCTTACTCTCCCCTCTCGACTTCCCCAGACCAGCACCTTTTAGTTCCACTCTCACGGAGGCCCAAGGGTTGGCAAGGATTCTTCATTCAGTCTAATCCTAACTCTGCTTAGACTGTGGTTCCCCAGTCCAATGTTTTCTAGAGATAAAGAACAACTGAAAACTCTTTTCTGTCTTACTGCCATGCCCTGGGGTTTTTAACTCCTCCCTTAAGCAAAACTCAATCCTTCAGTTTGGCAACAATTCTTAAATAGGTTCAGTCTGATTCCTTCCTTCTGGCTCTGCCAAAAGTTTCCCTTAAGCTGGGACTAGAAACAATGAAGATTTCTTAAAGACTTTGGCTTTCCCACAACTTTATATTCTCCTTTCCAAGACATGGAAAGGCTCTAGCTCCGTTTTTCTATTCCTGAGCCAAAGCATGAAGCAGAGATCCAACTACTTCCTGTGTGCAGGATTGATTAAAATAGCAGGGACGCTGAAGGGATTTTCCAAGGAATTGTTTAGCGAGCTCCAGAAGCTATGACTGAGAAGAAGAGAACTGGACTGTTTAGGCCATATGGCCTTAGATAAGGCTGACATTATCTATCTTGGAAATAAGATTTCTACAGCAATAATCCCAAAGGTCAGACTGCTCAGAGAAGGGAAATAGTAAAAAATAATAATGACAAACACCCAACCCAGAATGAATCGTCTTCTAAATTCAGTTATTTCTATAAAGAAAAATACAGACAAGGACATTTGTGTCTGTCTGCAACTTGGGCTCTCTGGTAAAATTGCCTGCAGATGTTTTGGGTTATTTGTGTTCCTCAGAATTTTGGTTTGAACGCATTAGAAACTTTTTATTCTTGTTGCTAGGCCTCTTTATCTTAGAGGAGAGAAAAGGCTGGGACGTTATACCAACATGGCTCGTTTTATCTGAAGGCACAGCCATGAAAATCCACAAACTAAGGAGGAGGAAAAAGGCATCTTTAACCATGAAAAAGAGTTGATCCTCAGTGGGTAAAACAGACCCAAGATGAATTTAGAGGGAAAGAAAGCATGTCCTAAAGCAACGTACCACATGAAAGGGTGCATGAAACACACACTTCCAGTACTGTATTTAAAGCTAGCAAATTGAAGCAAAATTGAACAAGGAGTGTCTCTCCTTATTAATGATTCTGAGAGCACTTTATCTCTAGGCAGCAGTTTGGAGGCAACCCTGCCCACTGGTGACTGAAAACCATCACTCTGTGATAGCTATATGATGATCTCTGTTCATATACTACCTAATCGGATGAGGAGAGCAGCAAAGCCTGCCAAGGCAAGAAGGAAAGATCCAAGTGCTTTTGCTTTAGTGATCTTTGCTCTCTTTGTCCTGTGATTAAATAGAGGTCTTCACTCTATTTAATCTAAGGACTCAAACCCCTCACCCCACAACTCAAGATTGTTATATACATGAAAGTGTTAGTTGCTCAGTCATGTCTGACTCTTTGTGACCCCATACACTGTATGGGGCTTCTCTGTCCATGGAGTTCTCCAGGCAAGAATACTGGAGGGGGTTTCCGTTTCCTCCTTCAGGGGATCTTCCCAACACATTTCCTGCATTGCAGGCAGATTCTCTACCACTGAGCCACAGGGGAAGCCT